TTTTAACATGACAGGGGGACTCTTAAGCCTCTTGTTTATGCTTTAGTACTTGCGGTCTATGGGAGGACCACAGCACACTCTTCTCTGTCTCCCCTTATTTGTTGATCGTCTGTAGGAAGAAGAGAGCGTGCAGAGGCCCTCAGCCGTACATTGGGTCTGTTCTCACTCTGTGCAGCTCCATCATTGAGCAAAGTACCAACCTTGAGGCTTCTGTAAGGACTTGACACAAACTACAGAATACTACAGGAAGCATTCACAACAAAACCCCATTTTTTTCCTCAGCCAAGCATCAAAACACTTACAGAAGGGCATGGTCCCTCTCTGTGCACCTCAAGGGGAGATGCACAAATCCTCACGTGGTTTCATCGCATCCAGCACCCTTCTCTGTGCCTCCCAGCTAAACGTGCACGGAGGCAGCTGTTGCCACAGTGCTGTGGTGACACAATTCCCTTCTGTTTCTGAAGTCATCACCGCAGGCGCCTCCCAGTGACGGCACAACACTCTCTGTTGCTAATGCGTCTGTCTCAGAAACAGCTAGGGAAGTACCACTATGCCCAAACTGACTTGAATTAGAGTAGTTCCCAAATTATTCTCTGCTCCCCTACGTCTGTGGAAGGAAGGTGTGTGATCAATCTTTTCCTTGCGAAAGGACTACAGAGCAAAAGAGCTTGATTCTGAGACGTTGCCCGTCCTTGTAGAGCAGTTCACCTTTGATTTCCATGTAGAAAAAAGAAGGTGAAATCAACAATTCCCTTCCTCTGAGCTGGGAATAGGAAAGAAGCCCAATCTCCAGGAAGCCTTCAAAAGGAAACTCTGCATTTCTTTGTTAAACACCTTGTTTAATTTCTTGAAAGAAATCTTTCCCAGGACTTTGCAACTGCGGTGGTTGAAGCGGGTGGGCAGCCGAGTTCCAGCATGGCCGCTCTCTCACTCCCCCTCCTCAAAGGGAAAGGGGGAGAAAATACGATGCCAAGGGCTCCAGGGCTGAGATAAGGACAGGGCGATGGCTCAACAAGTATGGTGACGGGCAAAGCAGACTCAGCAGAGTGACCCTCAGGGTCCCTCCCTGCCCCTGCTCCCCGTGGGGTCCCTCCCACGGGATGCCGTCCTTCCCCAGCTGATCCTGCAGGGGCTGCCCACAGGCAGCAGCTCCTCAAGCACTGCTCCCACACGGCTCCGTCCCACGGGCTCCATCCATCCATCCCCCAGGAGCAAACTGCTCCAGCACGGGTCCCCCACGGCTGGGCGGCAGCTCCCCCCAGACCCCCTGCTCCTGCGGGGGCTCCTCTCCACGGGGGGGCTGCAGCTGCGGCCCGGGGCCTGCTCCTGCCCTGCGGGGGCTCTCCATGGGCCGCAGCCTCCTCCAGGCCACATCCACCTGCTCCACCGGGGGCTCCTCCACCCACGGGGGGGCTGCAGCGTGGAGATCTGCTCCATGGGCTGCAGGGGGACAGCCTGCTCCACCGGGGGCCTCTCCCTGCACAGCCCGCAGGGGAACTGCTGCTGCCTCCTGCCCTCCTGCTGCACTCACCTGGGGGGCTGCAGGGCTGCTTCTCCTCTCTTTCTCCCTGGGAAACAGCTTTTTTGTTATTTTTCCTCCTTTCTTCAATATGCTCTCCCAGAGGAACAAGCGACATCGTTTCTTGGCTTGGCTCTGGCCAGCAGTGGAGCCGTTCTCTAACGGGGGGCAGCTTCTAGATTCTTCTCACGGAAGCCACCAAAGGGAGGACAGACCAAATGATTGCAAATTGATATCCACATGACAGCAAAATGGAGTCAAAGGATAAATTGTGCTATTCAGACTAAAAATGTGTAACATGCAGCTACATCTATCTGACCTTTGCACCTAAGTGCTGTTAACCATGCCAGGCATTTGTTGTTCACATGGTGAATAAGCGCTGTTTTGGATTGACAGAGATCATCTGTAGATTTGGTTCCAAAGGGGTTAAAATTCAGGCAAGGCAGTGAGAGCTTTGTGGGCTGCAGGAGAACCAAAATGCAGGAACTGTCAGGGCTCATCCTCACCTGGGACCAACTCTCATTTGGTCTTCTTTGGAGAGAAAGCCAAGCCAGCCAGATGGCTTCCACTACTTCTATGGGAGTGACCTTGGGCTTGATCTTTAAAATGAAATGAAGCAGAAGGCTGTGGCTTCTCCAACCTTCAAGATATGCAGCACTTGGCTGGGAATGTTTCTTGCGTTCCTATGGATTTGAAGAATTAGGGCTGAAAGAAGCAGCAGGAGCCTAGGGCCATATTCTGTCATCTCTCTGGAAACTCCTGAGGTGAATTACCTCCCTACTGGTGTCAACCTGCAGGCAGGCAGGCAAACGGGTGTGGTCTCCTCTCTGTGCAACTCCCTAATCCATGGTGTCTCTTTGCATGTGTGAAATTGCATGTGTATAGGGGGTGTGGTGGCAGAAGAGTGAAAGCCTCTTCTGATGGGTCCTCAAGCTGTGAGTCTGACCCTTCTGTGAGTGCTGAAAGCCATCCTGGGGCTAGAAGGGAGAGTGATCCAGCTGCACATCAGGAGACGGGGAAGAGACAGAGGCTCTGGCGTGCACTGCTGACTGCTTTGCCTCGGTGGGGTTGGAGTGAGGAAGCTGTACCCTCCTCTGTTAGCACAAAGGAGAGGAGTTATTCCATGCTATTTTTCCTCCTCTGTGGATGAATGGACAGACTGCACAGTTGGTTAAGGCCGTAGCTACTGAAGACAGAACTCGATTGTCTGCTGCTCTTCAGGCAGAAGGCAGAAGGAATCAAGAGACAGGACTGGCTCTGTCTGCATACTGCAGGAGACGCACTTTTTTGCATCTTCTGTGCGTGAAAAAGTATGTTTTAATTGATAAGAATCCCAAGGGCCTAGAAATCTGCAGTTTTAGGATAAATCTGGTAAAAATGAGTGTCCTGAGGATTTTGAGTACTCCATTTCCGTGGCCAGACCAACAGAAACTCCAGGGCAATAGTAAACACAACTTTCTCTCTCTTATCCGAAATTTCTCCACTTGTTATCTCCTGACCAGCAATTTACAGGAAAGTTACAGGAAAGTGAGGGAAAATATTTGAGCTATTTATACACCAGTGCAGGTGGTGCCATGTTAACTTCACTCTTTTGCAAGATCTTGTTTGCTAACAGCAAGTTATGGCCCCTAGGGATGTTTTACCTTGAGGGAGGGAATGGGGGCACACCAAAACAAGTAGAACAAGCAAAATACTGGGGGGTGGAGCTGACAAAACAAAAACCAACCAAACAAACAAAAAAAAACTACCACAAGGACCACCCACTAGTGCCATGCTTTTCATACTGAAGTGAGGAAAGAGCAGAGCATCCTTGCAGTAACTTCATGCCTCAAAACCCTCCTTTGTCACTCTTCCTGCACTTGTGTAACAGGTGCTTGCAGGTCTGTTTCCTTTCTTATTTCAGGACTGGAAGATGGCTTCATGGACAAAACAGACTTGGCTTGGGGAAGAGTAATTGAATTTATTGCCAACTGATCACAAAGTAGGACAGTGAGAATTTAAAAACTTTAAAACCAACCAACCAAACCAACCAACCAAACAGAAAACCACCTCGCCACACTCCTCCATCCCAGGCTAAACCTCAGTCTTGATTCTTCTATCTATTTCCCACGGAGCAGTGGGGGGTGGTTGGAGGATGTTGGGGAATGGAGGTTGCAGGCTCTGCTGCTCCTTCATTGTATTTGGCAATTTTATTGATGGTAGCGCTCCCCACCCCTCCCATCCCCTCTTTCCCCTTCCCTCCACTCCCCTGCCCTCCCCTATGCTCCCTGTTCTTTCTGAGCAACAGTATGACAGATTCGGGTGCGTGGACAGCACGTGGGGCTACGGGAGAGGACATGTACACAAAGATTTGGCTCCAGATCCAAAATGTCATGTATTTGGCAATTTATTTATGGTAGCACTCCCTCCCCTCCTCCTCCATCCCTCCCCTCCCTCTTTTGCCTCCCCTCCTCCCTCCCCTCCCATCTCCTCCCCTCCCCTACCATCCCTCCCTCTATGCTCCCTGTCCCTACTCTGCTACACTCCCCTCCCCTGTACTACCCTACACACTCCTACACTCCCTCCCCTATCCTACCCTACACTCCCTTCGCTACACTACCCTACATTACCCTATGCCCCCTCCCCTACACTCTCCTACACTCCCCTCCGGTATCCTACCCTACACTCCCCTAAACTCCGATCCCCTACACTACCCTATACTCTCCTATGCTCCCTCTCCCTCTAACACGCTACACGCTATCTACCCTACCCTACCCTACCCCTATCCTACCTCCTACCTATCCTATCCTACCCATCCTATCCTATCCTATCCTATCCTATCCTATCCTATCCCTATCCTATCCTATCCTATCCTATCCTATCCTACCCTCCCCTGCCTCCTTCCTCCCCTCCCTTCCTTTTATTCCCTCCCCTTCCCTCCCCTCTTGTCTTCTTCTCTCCTCTCTTCTTTCTTTCGGGTAACTTCAAATCGCTTCAGGCGTTCTCATAGCTCCTATCCCTGGCTGATTCACGGCAACCCATCAGCAGCAACCAGAAGCGCTCCAGCTGCTGTGTCACTGGTCGAGCAACAGTCTCCAACTGGGAATCGCTGACTTCGTTGTGTGGCTCAGACAGGTGCCTTGCAGTTCCACCGTGGCCTGGACGTGTCCTCGCTGTGTCCCCACCTACAGCGCAGTTCTGCTTAGAAGCAGCAGCAGGCTTTGGAAGATGTCCCACTCCTTCCATTTTCAGTGCTTTAGCTTGGCTAGCCGGGTGGTGTCTGTCACTAGAAGACAACAACGAGATTTGGGTTAGAAACAGCTAACTGAGTAGTTCCTTTGCACAAGGGCAAGGAATATTTACCCCTTCCTACTGGAGGCTGCAGTGTCAGAGATAATGACAGGTCCTTCCGAGAGCTTTGAAATATCCCTTGGGGATGCTGAGTCCAGAGGACCAGAGCAAACCTGTCTAAAGTACACCGTGGAATCCCTCGGAATGACTTCCTAGCAGAAGCATGTGTCTGATACGGCTTCAGCTGGTTGCAGTGTTCTTCTGCACCTCATACCTAAATTCAGATGAGAGATCTCAATGAAGATGGAAAGGTTGAGAAATAGAGAAATCACTGATGTGCTTTGAGAACTTCTAAGGACTGAGTACTGCATCAATCCAATGTTGTAACATTAAGGATTGGTTAGAAAAGCAAACGTTAAAAACAAGGAAAGGGGAAGAACAAGTAAGCTTTCTTAAAGGATCTATTCTATTGAAGGTATCTTTAAAGAAGTAAATAAGTACTGAAATATATATGCAGAGAGAGAGAGAGAGAGAGAGAGAGAGAGAGAGATACAGAATAAGAGTCTGCTGTGCAGGTTAGCTTCTTGCTCTCTTTTCTAAAAGTCACAGTGAATGCAGCATCTGTGTGCGTTACAAGCATTACCCTCAGTCCAGCACAGGTACACACGAGAGGTCAGCCTGCAGGTTGCGGAGGCAAAGCAACTGCTCTGGCTGGATGTGAAGAGCCAAGACAGAAGTTGCTGTCAGGGAAAAGATACGCAGAGGGGATGAAAAAGGCGGAGTGTGCTTCCGACCTTCACAACTTCTAAGCAAGCGGAGATGAGGTGTGGAAGAAGCAAATAAGCTGTTGATCTAGAAGCAGCCTGAAGATTGTCCTTAAGCAGGGCCTTGCGTTCTTCATTTTTACAGCATTGCTTGCCTTCAAGTGCACGACGATGATTTTATGAACTTTCTACCACTACAGAAATGCACCGGATTCTTTCCCAAAACTTACGGGTGGCACTTGGCAATATTGGTCAGCATTCTCTATTTCCTTCTTCATCTCAATTCTCTTTTGGCCTGTGAAGCTTTCCAGATCAGAGGAGAAGATCCACGGTAATACGGAGCTTTGGATCCTGCAAAGGAAACGAAGAATCCTACTGACAACTCTTTTCAACCTCGCCTGCAAGCATCACAGAAAAGAATAGCGAAAGAACGCCGCTTTATCATGGGAAGCATAAATTGGAGCATAGGTGTCCTAGAGCTGAAGCGAGGTGAAGCAGGTTCCACACAAGGGGAAGGAGCACACCCAGAAGCATTTCCATAAAGCCGTGTTTTCAAACAAAGGGTTAAGATTTAGATTTTCTTACAAGTGAAGAATGAAGAAAGAAAAGAAAAAGAAAATTACCAGGACATCCAGTTTTCCTCTCGCTTGCTTTGCTTCTTTCCGAATCTGAGTCTGGAGTGACAGTCAGGGAGCAGCGTTGTGCAGAAATGCCAAAGCCTCCCCAGCTTGTTGTACCTTCATCAGCAAGGGCTTTGATACTGCTGCCTCCTCAGCAACATCAGCCATTTCCGAGGAAAGCTGGTGTCCATCACCAGCTCAAATAGCAATGGGAAATCCCTCTTGCCACAACTTCACACTCACACCAGAGTTGGCAGGACAGGCCGATGGACAGAGAAGCGTCTGCAAGAGTGTTAGAAAACAGACTTTAGATTTCCGTCAACCCAGGAAGAATGACTTGCTCATCCCTTCAAAGTGAACTCTGAGTAGAAGGAGGGGATCCCAAGCTGCATTCCTGACATCTATGCTGCAAAGTCATCCAATGGGACATGTTACTGTACCAGCCTGTTATGAACAGAAACAGGACTTTGAGGTTATGCTGTTGGATTAGAATTAAGCTCAAAGAGTTAGTCTTTTGACGTGTTTTTGTTTGCAAGTGTTTTCACTGCTTCCCAGACAATGTCTCCAGCAAGCTAGCTGCTTGCTTCATTTGTTCTGTTCTGTTCTGTTCTTTTTGATTCTGTTTTGTTTTGTTTTCTCAGCCAGGATTCTTAGAGAAATGAGATTAAAGAGATCATATTGTATGTCCACCCATCCCTCCCTCCCCTTCGCTTGTCCAGAGCTTTTACCTCGTCCACCAGCTTGAATGAACTCGGTCCTAGGCGCAGTTGTGTCCAAGCCATTCTGTTCCTAGACGTGTTGTGAGAACAGACAGCTAAGTAGTGGGGAGAGGACGTGCTGCTGTCTGCAGTGTGACCTCAGCGCTTACCAAACAGTAGGGAATACACAGAGAAGGGCCTTAGGAGAACTTCAAGCCCCAGATACGTTTTATGTGGAAACCATATTTCCCAAGATAACACTGGACACAACTGCAGAATCAAAATGGATTCATTTCTTGGTTCATTCAACTCCTAGGTTTTAGTTTTAAAACGTGTCTGTCTTGGCTTAAAGCACTCTTCCAATCTCTATTTCCAGTTCCTAGGATTTCCTGAAATAGGGAATCCCACTTTTTCCTTTTACAATCTCCCAGTCTCTTCTTTTTTACCTCTCCCCAAGAAACTTAGCACTGCTCTCTTCATACTTGACAACTAGATATGGAGCTGTATCAGCCAGAAGGAAGTTTCCTTCACACTTTCTGCTTCTTACGGTATCTGGGCTCTTACCTTTACACTTACTCGCCCTTCCTACATTAGCACAAAGAAAGTGTTTTGGAGATCTGATGTCTTGTTTTCCAGAAACTGCCCTGACTCACCTTTACGAGAGCTGTCCCACGCTGCGAGCACAGTCTTGCAGTCTGGCCAGATATTTGCCTTCTAAGTCAATAACCAAATCTGTTCCAAAGGTAAGAACATGTAATGAATGGAAAGGAAATCCTTTTATTTTCATCGCAGTTCACTTTTTTTAGTTAAGTTAAGAACATGTAATTAATGGAAAGGAAATCCTTTTATCCTTTTTTTTGATCCAAATTCACTTTTTTTTTTTTTTTTTTTTTTTTTTCTAGACCAAGAATGAGTCGTGGAGAACCACCAAAACTCAGGTGAAAAATGAAATGACAAATGTTAAGGTCAGGCAGCTTGCCCACTGCCATTGCTACCCTGAAAGCAGATGGAGTGCATCTTCATACGCCACAGCCTGAGACACTAGTCGACAGGCCAGCCCGTGTGAGGAAGTCCATTGCTGTCCTGAATTTTAACATGACAGGGGGACTCTTAAGCCTCTTGTTTATGCTTTAGTACTTGCGGTCTATGGGAGGACCACAGCACACTCTTCTCTGTCTCCCCTTATTTGTTGATCGTCTGTAGGAAGAAGAGAGTGCAGAGGCCCTCAGCCGTACATTGGGTCTGTTCTCACTCTGTGCAGCTCCATCATTGAGCAAAGTACCAACCTTGAGGCTTCTGTAAGGACTTGACACAAACTACAGAATACTACAAGGAAGCATTCACAACAAAACCCATTTTTTTCCTCAGCCAAGCATCAAAACACTTACAGAAGGGCATGGTCCCTCTCTGTGCACCTCAAGGGGAGATGCACAAATCCTCACGTGGTTTCATCGCATCCAGCACCCTTCTCTGTGCCTCCCAGCTAAACGTGCACGGAGGCAGCTGTTGCCACAGTGCTGTGGTGACACAATTCCCTTCTGTTTCTGAAGTCATCACCGCAGGCGCCTCCCAGTGACGGCACAACACTCTCTGTTGCTAATGCGTCTGTCTCAGAAACAGCTAGGGAAGTACCACTATGCCCAAACTGACTTGAATTAGAGTAGTTCCCAAATTATTCTCTGCTCCCCTACGTCTGTGGAAGGAAGGTGTGTGATCAATCTTTTCCTTGAGAAAGGACTACAGAGCAAAAGAGCTTGATTCTGAGACGTTGCCCGTCCTTGTAGAGCAGTTCACCTTTGATTTCCATGTCAGAAAAAAGAAGGTGAAATCAACAATTCCCTTCCTCTGAGCTGGGAATAGGAAAGAAGCCCAATTCTCCAGGAAGCCTTCAAAAGGAAACTCTGCATTTCTTTGTTAAACACCTTGTTTAATTTCTTGAAAGAAATCTTTCCCAGGACTTTGCAACTGCGGTGGTTCGAAGCGGGTGGGCAGCCGAGTTCCAGCACGGCCGCTCTCTCACTCCCCCTCCTCAAAGGGAAAGGGGGAGAAAATACGATGCCAAGGGCTCCAGGGCTGAGATAAGGACAGGGCGATGGCTCAACAAGTATGGTGACGGGCAAAGCAGACTCAGCAGAGTGACCCTCAGGGTCCCTCCCTGCCCCTGCTCCCCGTGGGGTCCCTCCCACGGGATGCCGTCCTTCCCCAGCTGATCCTGCAGGGGCTGCCCACAGGCAGCAGCTCCTCAAGCACTGCTCCCACACGGCTCCGTCCCACGGGCTCCATCCATCCATCCCCCAGGAGCAAACTGCTCCAGCACGGGTCCCCCACGGCTGGGCGGCAGCTCCCCCAGACCCCCTGCTCCTGCGGGGGCTCCTCTCCACGGGGGGCTGCAGCTGCGGCCCGGGGCCTGCTCCTGCCCTGCGGGGGCTCTCCATGGGCCGCAGCCTCCTCCAGGCCACATCCACCTGCTCCACCGGGGGCTCCTCCACCCACGGGGGGCTGCAGCGTGGAGATCTGCTCCATGGGCTGCAGGGGGACAGCCTGCTCCACCGGGGGCCTCTCCCTGCACAGCCCGCAGGGGAACTGCTGCTGCCTCCTGCCCTCCTGCTGCACTCACCTGGGGGGCTGCAGGGCTGCTTCTCCTCTCTTTCTCCCTGGGAAACAGCTTTTTGTTGTTAGTTTTGTCCTCCTTTCTTCAATATGCTCTCCCAGAGGAACAAGCGACATCGTTTCTTGGCTTGGCTCTGGCCAGCAGTGGAGCCGTTCTCTAACGGGGGCAGCTTCTAGATTCTTCTCACGGAAGCCACCAAAGGGAGGACAGACCAAATGATTGCAAATTGATATCCACATGACAGCAAAATGGAGTCAAAGGATAAATTGTGCTATTCAGACTAAAAATGTGTAACATGCAGCTACATCTATCTGACCTTTGCACCTAAGTGCTGTTAACCATGCCAGGCATTTGTTGTTCACATGGTGAATAAGCGCTGTTTTGGATTGACAGAGATCATCTGTAGATTTGGTTCCAAAGGGGTTAAAATTCAGGCAAGGCAGTGAGAGCTTTGTGGGCTGCAGGAGAACCAAAATGCAGGAACTGTCAGGGCTCATCCTCACCTGGGACCAACTCTCATTTGGTCTTCTTTGGAGAGAAAGCCAAGCCAGCCAGATGGCTTCCACTACTTCTATGGGAGTGACCTTGGGCTTGATCTTTAAAATGAAATGAAGCAGAAGGCTGTGGCTTCTCCAACCTTCAAGATATGCAGCACTTGGCTGGGAATGTTTCTTGCGTTCCTATGGATTTGAAGAGTCAGGGCTGAAAGAAGCAGCAGGAGCCTAGGGCCATATTCTGTCATCTCTCTGGAAACTCCTGAGGTGAATTACCTCCCTACTGGTGTCAACCTGCAGGCAGGCAGGCAAACGGGTGTGGTCTCCTCTCTGTGCAACTCCCTAATCCATGGTGTCTCTTTGCATGTGTGAAATTGCATGTGTATAGGGGGTGTGGTGGCAGAAGAGTGAAAGCCTCTTCTGATGGGTCCTCAAGCTGTGAGTCTGACCCTTCTGTGACTGTGCTGAAAGCCATCCTGGGGCTAGAAGGGAGAGTGATCCAGCTGCACATCAGGAGACGGGGAAGAGACAGAGGCTCTGGCGTGCACTGCTGACTGCTTTGCCTCGGTGGGGTTGGAGTGAGGAAGCTGTACCCTCCTCTGTTAGCACAAAGGAGAGGAGTTATTCCATGCTATTTTTCCTCCTCTGTGGATGAATGGACAGACTGCACAGTTGGTTAAGGCCGTAGCTACTGAAGAGAACTCGATTGTCTGCTGCTCTTCAGGCAGAAGGCAGAAGGAATCAAGAGACAGGACTGGCTCTGTCTGCATACTGCAGGAGACGCACTTTTTTGCATCTTCTGTGCGTGAAAAAGTATGTTTTAATTGATAAGAATCCCAAGGGCCTAGAAATGCAGTTTTAGGATAAATCTGGTATAAACTGAGTGTCCTGAGGATTTTGAGTACTCCATTTCCGTGGCCAGACCAACAGAAACTCCAGGGCAATAGTAAACACAACTTTCTCTCTCTTATCCGAAATTTCTCCACTTGTTATCTCCTGACCAGCAATTTACAGGAAAGTTACAGGAAAGTGAGGGAAAATATTTGAGCTATTTATACACCAGTGCAGGTGGTGCCATGTTAACTTCACTCTTTTGCAAGATCTTGTTTGCTAACAGCAAGTTATGGCCCTAGGGATGTTTTACCTTGAGGGAGGGAATGGGGGCACACCAAAACAAGTAGAACAAGCAAAATACTGGGGGGTGGAGCTGACAAAACAAAACAAACAACAAACAACAAAAAAACAACTACCACCAAGGACC